GAAGAACCAAGAACGAGAATCCAGATTCTAAACCAGGTGTTGTTCGAGAACCCCTTTATCAAGAGATCGCATGGAGAACGGCTAATGGCAGATGGGAGTCCTGGCTCCTTCGGGCGAGCGTGGGTGGAGAAGGGAGTAATCCAGCTTAGAGACATTTGGGATTCAAAGGAAAACAACTGGGAATCATACGACAGGTTACGTGGTCTACTTCCAAGGTTACATAACATCTTACTGCACTTTCAAGTAATGAAGGAGGCTATCCCTCCTGACTGGATCCGGATCCTGCAGTCTGAGGAACAACTTGTAGAAGGAGCTTGGCTGCAAGACCCAGAAGACTGCACTTCAGTTTGGAAGATTTTGGGCCCAGAACTACCTATCTCAGATGAGTGGCAGGAGGTAAGAGTTTGGGAAAAACAGTCAAAAGGTCTTCCAACCTGTGTGCTGCTCCCAAACAAGGCCGATGAGATTCAAATTGAGCCATTACTGCTGGGATGCAAGGATTCTTCCTCGCAAACGAGCTACACTCCTCTGATTGAATACAAGCCAAAGGTTGGTGTACAGATCCTGAGAGCCCGCAAGAAGAAGAAGCCGATCTTTACAGCTAGAAAGAGACTGAACCAGCAACAGACTGGAACAGTAGGAGACGCAGACTTGTATAAGTTATGGAAAGCGTTAAAAAAGCAACCTTCACAGAAAAACGCAGGTCTAATGTGGCTCCAATCGTTGCAAGTCACTCCGACAGCAACATGGCTAACTTCAAGAAATATGGATATCTCAGATAATTGCGTGAGATGCGAATGCGCGTGGGAAACCGCACCCCATTTGTGGTTGCACTGCCCTACCTCAGCCTGCATCTGGGAATGGTGGAAGGAAAGATGGAGAGAACAGGGTCTCCCCCCATCTACTTGGTCGGACGAATTCATATTATACGGGAAATCTTCAGTTTCAGGCTCTACTTCATCTGGCCCATACTACCAGGCTCTGGTTTGCAGAGGCATTATAATGGAAACCTTATGGTATGGACGTAACCAGCTGCTGTTTAAAATGGAAAGGCATGATATAAAACACCTGATCAATCGCATTTTTCTGTTCGGGCTGACTGGAGGACAAAAACTTCATCTGGTTTATAAAAACTTGGGTCGAGAGTAAGGCATTTGCTTCTCTGTCCCAGACCGGCGAACTGGAGCTGGCTTCGTGGCTACATGACCAGCCAGCTGTAATGGAAGCCGAACCAAGGTTGGCTCGTCGCGAGTCGTCGGTTAGAGCCGCCAATACGAGTTGATGTGCTGGTTACTTTGTTTTCTGGTCGAATTGACAGAACTCCGATGTGTAGGAGTTCGAAAGGACGGATTAGTGGCCCTGATAGCCAAAGCTGGTTTGTGCATAGAGGATGATAGGATTGTCAGGAGTCCACAGTGAAAGTTTTGAAGTTTGTTCTTGGTTCGATGATTGGTGGCTTGACGATCGAATTAAGAGGCTGGACCGTTGGTCTGGTACTCTTCCTTTACTAAGGTCGAAGGTTATTTTGGAAAGTTATTGCCTAGGACGGGACGCTGGACCCGATTTCCAGTTTTTTGAGTAGAAATGAGCTGAATGTTGAGGCAGCGAGCTTGGCTCGTAAGCTAAACTGGCTGAGGCTGCCAGGATAACTCCGGGTTGAGTTGTGAGGTCCCCGGCCTCGTCCAATTGGTTTCTTTGGAATAAAGGTAAGTCTCGTAGCAAAATTACCGGCCTTCCCCTGTATTGGGACCAATAGGCCAAAAAAAAAAAAAAAAAAGTGACAAATATGCCGACAAAGTTGCCGAAATATGCCGACAAATTCGCGGATATGCCGACAAAGTTTAGAGTCTTTGGACAAGTATCAAATTTGCGGATATGCCGACAAATTTGCGGACAAAACCGGTCCGCGCCTTAATGGCCACAAATAAAAAAGATTTCTGGAAAAATGGCTAAAAAATCATACCGAAAGTTTGAGATATAAGGATTAATAGCAACAATATTGGTCCTTGCAAGTTTGGCAGCAAAAATGTCGTCCGTTCGAAGTTTCCTTTGCAAAAATAGAGGTCTCGTTGCAGCTTTATCGGGTTCCCATAGTTTGCCAGCAAAAATACCGCGTTTTGCCCAGTTTCACAGCAAAGGACCCCTAGGCCTCTGGCTTCAGGGACTCAGGGACTCAGGGACTCAGCGTTCTGGCCTCACGCACTCAAGCATTCTTTTTTTTTTTTTTTTTACCCACGGCCAAGATGCCTCGGCCACGACCGCGAAAAAAAAAAGACGAGAAAAAAA